AGCAGGGCTGCATAAAGGGATGATTTGGCCACGGGTGTGGTTACCAGATGTTTGGAAGGGTCTACACTTGGCTGTGCGGTGTGCTTTGATCCTGCAAGAGGAAGGTCTTTTGCCCCATCCCTTGGCATTGTTATAAAAAGCCTTTTTGAATAAACGGAAGAGGCTATTGGGTATTGATCCAGGCCCTCCCAAAGCTAGCCTGTGTTTCTGTCTTCTCATCGTCTAGGTCTCTCTTTCTACCTAATATTTCTTATCTCTCCTCCTCCTCCTCCTCCTCCTCCTCCTCCTAAGAACCCTAGAGAAGCTGGGAAAGGTAGGAGCTGGACTCCCATTGTCTCCTACACCTTCCCTCTATCTCTTCCACCCATTAAAGTCTGTCGAACCTCCTTCACATGACTATTTCTCATTGTGTTGGTGATGGGCTCTGGGTCCCTCGGCTGGGTATCATGTGCACTGTGCTGATTATAGTGGCACTATGGACTGTGGGCACTTTGGTTCACAGCCTCCTCTACCTCCTCCATCCAAAGCTGGATTCCTCCGGAGACAGGGCCCAAAGAAGCCCCAGAATCTAAAAATGATTTATTCAGTGTCAACTGTGCTGGCGCCACTGCTTTAAGTGTGGGATAAAAGACGTACTGCATTTGAGATCTAAGAGCAGTACAATCAAAACATGCAGAGTGGATGTACCGGCTGGGAAGACAGCTTCTGGGAAAAAGATATATGCAGCCTCGCCAATATTCACTCAACAATGAGGATGCCCAGAGAGGTCAAATCTTTTGTTTTATAAGTGTTAAAATTTATCAATCTGTACACAAGATTTACATCCTACTGGAACATTTTTTAAAATTTAATTTAAAAAGTAAAAAAAAAAAAAAAAAACAAAGAAATTGCCTAAGTGGATTATTTCTATTTTATTTTATGTATATGTATGAGTGTTTTACCTGCATATATGCACCACTTATGGTCATAGTACCTGCAGAGGTCAGAAGAAGACATCAGATTACCTGGAACTGGAGTTAGGGTGCTGGGAGCTAAATTCAGATCCTTTGCAAAAATGTTCTTAGCCATTGTGGTGGTTTGAATGAGAATGGCCCCCATAGATTAATATGTTTGAATGGCTTGATGGCTTGGTCCTCAGTTGGTGGAATTGTTTGGGAAGGATTAGGAGGTGTGGCCTTATTGGAGGAGGTGTGTCACTAGGGGTGGGCTTTGAGGTTTCAAAAGCCCATGTCAGCTGAGCAGTGGTGGTGCATGTTAATCCCAGCACTCAGGAGGTAGAGGCAGGCAGATCTCCGAGTTCAAGGCCAGCTTGGTCTACAGAGGGCGTTCCAGGACAGCCAGGGCTACACAGAGAAACTGTGTCTTGAACCCCCCCCCCCACACACACACAAAAAAAAATCCTATGTCATTCTTAGTTAGCTCTTTCTGCTTTGTGGTTGTTATCTCAACATGTAAGTTCTCGGCTACTGCTCCAGTGCCATGTCCGCCTGCCTGCTGCCATGCTCCCTGATATGATGGTCATAGACTCACCCTCTAAAACTAAGCAAGGCCCCAAATAAACTCTCTTCTTTAAGTTGCCTTGCTCATAGTGTATCTTCACAGCAATAGAAAAGTGATTAAGAACCATTGGGCCATCTCTCCATCCCCACCTTCTCTTGAGACAGGGTCTCACTATATACTCCTGGTTGGTCTGGAACTTGCCATGTAGAACAGGCTGGCCTTGAAGTCACAGAGATCCATCTGCCTCTGCCTCATGATTATTAAAGTAGTAAAGTATTAAAGGTGTGTGCTCCCATGTCTGACTATAAATAAATCTTAAAAAAAAAAAGAATGAACAGGAATCTTAAAGGTAGTAACACCAAAACACCGATCTTGTCTTTCCTACCCAAGGAGGACCAGAAATGCAATTCTGATCAGCAAAGGAAAACTTCACTGGTCCACTGAAAACTCCAGTTCTAACATAAACTCCAGGTAGGGCTTGATTTGGTGTTCGGACAGCGCTGCCGGGACTCAGTTTCCAGGCACGCCGAGGCTCTGCTGCATTGGTCATGTCTCAGGACTTGTATCAGTCAGGGTCCTCTGAGGAGTGGTTCTGAACATGTGGATCAGGACCTCTTTAGGGGGTTGAACCTCCCTTTCACAGGGGTCACATATCAGATATCCTGCATATCAGATATTGACATGACGATTTCTAACAGTAGCAAAACTACAGGTTGGAGGTAGCAACGAAAATAATTTGATGGTTGCGGGGGTCACAGCAACGTGAGGAACTGTGTTAAAGGGGCACAGCATTAGGAGGGTTGAGAACCACTGCTCTAGAGGACCAGAGACAATAGGATATATATACCTCAGAAGTCCTAATCTGGTGCTCAAAATCTGTTAGCTTCTGGAAGAGCCTCTGGTCCTTAGTCAACAAAGAAAGCCTGGAAACACTGGTTCTGATATCAGTGAAGAAAATCAGCAGCAGCAGCAACAGGGGAAACCAACTCATTAACAAGCGCGAAGGCCAAGGAAGCTAGGAGAACAATCTTCCTTCTGCCACGCCTTTTTTATCTGGGGTGCTACCAGAAGGTGCCTCCCACATTTGGGGTGAGTCTTCTCCAATCAGTTAAGGTAACCAGGGCAATTCCTCAGGTAGAGCTCCCTATTCAAGTGATTCTAATTTGTGACAAATTGACATTAAAACCAGCTGTCACAAACCCCAAAGTGGCCACTCAGTTCTGGGTTTTCCTCTGTGTTGGAAAGATAGAGGGTGTTTCTTCAGACCCGTACGCTCTCAGGAACAAGTTCACTGGGAAGAGAAATGTGCCCTTTCTCTTACCATAGTCCTAGAAAAGTCATTGTCTCATTGGTTCCAAGTGGACCACATACACATCGATGGACCCATCCCTGGGACCATGGAAGTACAATGTGTAGCCTAGGTCACATGATTTTCCTTAGAGTTCTTTCCAGGCAAAAGACAACTTCCTTCCCAAGAAGTCTGCTGGAGCCACTGTGCCTCCATTCATCCTTCTAGTATCATAGTGTCATCACCATCTTTTGCCCAATGCCTGCGAGTTGCAGTTTCCTGGCTTCCCAGTCACCCAGATGCCTGCCTGGGAGATAGGCCACAGGCCTATTGGTTCCTGTAGTTAGTGTTCTCACCTGGCCTCTGAGGTTGGCAGCATCTTCGTCCAGGACAGCGTATGAGGTGAGTCCTGTCCTGTGATGATTTGGTGGTGTTTAGGTGCCCCACTGTTCCCTTCCCTTCCCCCTTGAATAGAACGGCTATTGATGGCCACTCAAGAGGGCCGGCAGGTCACTCCATTATACCCAGCTGTTGTCCACGGCTAGCTCTGACACTCTAAGTGGCTCAGACGCAGACGGTCCACAGGCACCTTCCCTTGGTGTCTGTACCACTCCATGTCACATCATGGCATCCATTCCTACTCAGTAGGGTCTCTGTATGCACACTCAAGCCATTTAGATGTGTGTGTCCAAGTGCGCCTGTGTGTGTGTGCGCACGCACGCACGCACGCACGCACGCACGCACATGGTATTGGGGAAGGTAGTGCCTTCTTTAAGTTCCAGGCTAGAAGCACATATAACTACTTCCTGGACCAGGTTAAACTTGATGATGTACAAGCCAAAGTTGCCTTAAGTATTAAATCAATGTTGATGGCTTAGGTTGAGGGTATCAAAGGTGGGCCCCACTGAGAAAATCTGCCAACAGCATGCACACACTTTGCACTGATTCCCTTCAAAGAGCTGAGCAGGGAGCTGGGGTGAGAAGAGCTGCTGCGGATCCCAGCTGGTGCGCCAGTGACCCCTGCTGGTGGGATTTCCCTCTCCTGGTGCACAGAGGTAAGTGTCCCCTCCAAGAAGGTGGTTCTGTTGTCTTCTGAGATGCCACACTGCAGATGCTCAGGGAGAGCAGAGCTCCTGGGCTTCCCTGCTAACACTTCCATTGGGGGCCTCAGCCGCCAGAAGTTCAAGTGAGGCTCTTGTCTTTGCCGCTACAGAATCCCTCTCAAAGCTTGCTCACTTTCAGATACAACTAGAGTGTATTTAAAAGTTCTCAGAAAGGGTGCTGGAGAGATGCTCAGTAGTGCTGCTCTTTGCCGAGAGCCTGAGTTTGCTCCCCACATCAACCTCTTACAAGCAATTGTAACTCCAGCTCCAGAGGGACCCAATGCCTCTGACTTCTGAAGGCATCTACACATACATGCACACACACCCTTACGCACAGACACACAAAATTAAAAATGAATCTTGAAACAAAGATTCTCAAAAAGGGAGCTGGTCAGATGGATCAGCCCGAATAGGAGAAACAATTCCCAAAAGTTGTCCTCTGATCTCCACGTGTGAGTGCCATATGTTCCTGTGTGCACACATGCACACACTGTGCATACACACACAAATTAAACAAATGTAAAAAAAAACAAACCAAAACCCAAAAAACAAAAACCTCAAACTAAAAAAGATCATGTCCAAAAACAAGTGCCTCTACCCAAAAAAAAATCTAAATTTTTTTCTTTTCTTTTCCTTCCTTCCTTCCTTCCTTCCTTCCTTCCTTCCTTCCTTCCTTCCTTCCTTCCTCCCTCCCTCCCTCCCTCCCTCCCT